TACTCAAAAGAATTAAGTTGAAAATTTACACATATAACCCTGCCAAAAATGTGTGAGACTCTGAATAGTGAAGCACATTTATTTAAATGGCCAAAACGTATACAAATTACCCAAACTTGAATCTCGGCGATTTTTGTTAGAATTTTTATAAACGCTATATGAATAAATTAATAAACTCAGTGAAACATGTATACATCATCTGTGTCTTTTACTATTGACTGGATCGAACACGAAAAAATTGGCCATTCAGGAAGACCAGCAATGAATTGTTAAGCTTGGGGCTTTTTTTGTGGCAAACACCTAAATATAGTTCATATAAAATACAAATACCATTCGATATACTTTCATATCCGCATTTTACCCTTTCATCCGTCCGTCCGTCTGCTGTCTATCCGTCCGCATCCGCGTTTTACCCTAACCCGTTTGCAGTTAGCTAGCGGTCCGTCGTTAACGTCAATCTTAAACGTTGTGGTACCATAACGACACGCGCTGCGTCATATTTATTAAAAATTCCGATCCGTTTCGGAAATGGTTCCGAAACATCGAATAACATTTCCATTTCCGAAGTAGGTATAAAAAATGAAACTGTAGGGAATTCCATGGGATGAGTAAAAAATTCATAAAAAATTCGAAGAAATTCAACGGGTAAGGCTAAAAATTCACATAATGCAATGGCCATTACATAAAATTCTGGACTTTTAATGCCATAATTGTCAATGAAGTGTATAATAACAAATAAATTTCCTATGTTACTGCGGATTCAGGTAGACCGTGAAATGCGAATAGTTGTCGCGTTAGTTTTAACGGTTGCACGATGACCTTTCTAGGCAGATTCTCAGACGTTTCTAAGGCATGGCTTCAATGTTTATTTTCAAAATTTAAACGTTGTGATTACAAACGTCTGAAAATATGCCTAGAAACTAGCCTGAAAACAGACCTACGTTTGTTTCGCCCTTTCCGTTGACCCGCGCATTTTAGAGCGGGTGAAACGTAGAAACGTCATCGTGCAACCGTTAAACTAACGCGACAACTATAACTATTCGCATTTCACGGTCTACCTGAATCCGCAGTGGTAATTTATATTAAAGTGTAAATGCTTAAATTTATTCTCCAACAGCAACCGTTATAAAGATGCTGATTTGCCTATGGTTGGTAGGAATAATTCCAGTTGTTCTTTACGTTTTGAACGTTTCATATGCACAAGCAGTGGTTTTGATTGGATATTTCCTTATTCCTCTCATTATTATAATGACATCGTACATAATATTGATGATATCTGCCAAATTATCGTGGAAAAAGATGGAGGAGTATAGAGCACAACAAACTACCAAGGTAAAAAATTTGCTTAATTGACCCCTTCAAAAATGACGAGTGACGACGCCACCTTAAATCGTATAAATTTTTGCGGAAAGTGTAACCTGCGACCAGGCGTTCTTGAACTATAATAACATGCGGACTACCTCTCTCATATGAGAATCATAAAATTGTTTATGTAGTATATCGAAACAATTTATAGATCCTCCAATCAAAGAAACTTAGTCTTAGATCTGCAGTCAGAAACTTAGTCTTAGATCTGCAGTCAGAAACTTAGTCTTAGATCTGCAGTCAGAAACTTGGTCTGAGATGATTTACTACTATACAGTCCGTAGATATATTTATTTATAACAATTTTCATATTGTGTCAATATGTTTTATGTTATTAAATTAAATTGTTAAAAATTGTTAAGATTATTAGAACAACGTAAGGTAAGGTGCTATTTCTGTAGTCTAAATTGAATCCTCTGACCTTGTACAAGTGGTTCTTGCAAGATATAAGCCAGAAACTTTCCTTCTGAGGTGGAAACTCCAGAAAACGACGAGTTTCCTTTAAAGCGGGGAATTTGATTTTGTCTTTAGGATAGAAAACGTCGACTAACATACTGAGCAAGTCAACAAAAAAATAACGAGCAATATATACGCGTATAAATGTACATAAACGCTGACACAAAACTAGTAAGAAAGTTGAAAATATCGCACCAAAATATATAACTTTCTATATACCATTTTCCAGACCTAAGGCCCCAAAATCTACATCCCATTTTATATATTCACCTAGCCGGAATGCCATTTTCACTTGGTGGCCTGTATACAGCTATTTCAGTTAAGGTTGTCCCCCAGCAAAGTGGAAAAGTCGAATACGAGCGCGAAAGTCTTGCTGGGAATCGCTAAAAAATTAAGGATTTTTTTAGCGATTCCCAGCAAGCCTTTCGCGCTATCTCGTATTCGACTTTTCCGCTTTGCTCGGGGACAACCTTAATTGAAATAGCTGTATATAGGGTGATGTGATAATATTGCGATTTTACTCTATTGTCTTTTACTCTAGGTGTAGTGCAAAGTAGAAGGATGTTGTAAAATGAATTGCCGATCGAAAACTATATATACATAACCTAACCGGGAGCAGTTACGAAAAGTGCCTTTCCCGGCACCCCTTCGGCAGGAACAGTGGCAGAAATCTTGGTGGGGCGGGGGGCGACCGCGCCCCCCCCCCTCCTTCACGGAAAATGACGAATTTTCGGACATTTTTACCTAAAAGAGGGCTAAAAACAGCCTTTTCGAGTGCAAATGGAGGGGGGGGGGGTTGTCGGAAATTTGAAAGTTTCGTCGGAAATTTAGGAGGCTTTGCCCCCACTGGAAAAAGTGAATTTCCGCCACTGTGCAGGAATCGAAATGCGGGCCCTGAGAACTCGGTACAGCACTGAGCTGAGCCCAGTTGCTAAAAAGACTTTGCAAAGTTTCAACTATTTCGTTTACTTACGGACAGTGATCAATGATTTGTCCTTTTGGTCAGTTCATGATAGTTTAAAGCTGTTATACGTATATACTTAAGATACAAATTATCCAACCTCGTTCGTACCCAGGGCATATTTCACTCGGTCAGTAAACATTAACGTTATCTTTTAAAACGTATATATTTTTGTCGTTCCAGGATTTTAGATTGGCAAAAACGCTTTGCATTGTGGTTGTACTTTTCATAATAACATGGACACCATTCTTCATCGTGCTCGTAATATCCGTCTATCCTGAACATTTTACACTGAATTTAACTACAGGACAGATGATATACTTTGCTTATTTCGTCAAGTTTTCACAGTATGCTTCATCGGCTTGTAATCCTTTTATTTATGCTTTTCGTCAACGAGAGTTTACGGCACATGCACAATATCTTTGCGGAAGGTCAACCAATCATCAAAGACGATTGAATCGCAGTCTTGTCTGCGAAGCCGAAGGTAGTCGGGCATCAACCAGAACAACCAGGACTTTGTTCAGTCGTCTTTCAAAAGCTTCTGAGAAGCCAAACGAACAGTATTCTTTATGTCGCATGAATAACCATGGCCATAGCGGAGCGAAAAGGAGAACTGATGAACAACAGTGCCCCACACGTGTGTAAGCTTCCTCATAGATATAGTGCGTTTCAGATATGAAAATAAGTGACCGTCTTTCAGCCTCGTCTTCAACTCTTTAAATTCAAACTTTGGTAAACGTCGATCAAAGAACAATGAAAAACCGGTATTAGTATACTAATTTTAGAAAAGGTTTCATAAGGCAGGAATTTCAACCGTATTAATATGGATTCTCAACTGTTATATTATATACGAAATAGCCGATTTTTGCCTTACTGCGGGATGTTTGCAAAACTCTATAAATTTATCTCTCTGGAGAAGAGAAACCAGCTATATGTACTGATTAGTCTTGTCCATAAAGTTAAGAAATATTCCTGTATAAGGGAACGACATTGCACTATTGGTGAACGGTAAACGATATGAAAATTAGCTTTGAAACATGTATAAATTTACATTTAATTTAATTATTATGTAATATATATATAGCAATTTAAAATTTTGTTAATACGATCTCTAATTTTCCGATGTGCAAATATACAGTATTATTCTATACACATGAAGGTCTGGATATGAGGTATTCTGCAATCTGATTGGTTCTCTACTATAGCAGGATATTAGCTGATATCCTGCTAGTAGAGAAAAACAAAATGGCGGCTCAAACTGAATTTCCGACGTTTTACGAACGAGCCAACGGCAAGTCGTTCGCTTTTTATAGCCTTTATAGGATTAAAAACACAATGAAAAAACTCCCACAAATTGTTTACAGGTTAGCAAATGAATTTTTAAAATTTAAAATAGTTAAAAAATATATATTTTTGAAAAAATAATCGGCCGAAAGAGCGAAGATAAAAACATAAACAAAATAGAAAAATATTGAAAATATCCGAAAAGCAAAGTATGTGAATTCAGACCTTGTGTATATAATAAAACAGTTATTCCACTCACTCTCGTCGAATATGAGCGATAGCCGATTCGGCGCTATACGCGCCTCATCGGCTATCAGCTCATATTCGACTCGAGTTCGTAGAATCTGAACTGCAACCTCGTTCCCAGGGTCTTTCTTAGAACGGCGCGAGGCGAAGGAAAGACCCTGGTTTCGGCTGGTCACGTGTCACCCAGATTCTGGGTGATATAAAATTAAAATGATACTATGGGCAGGGTGGGAGAGGAGCGTGTTTGTCGCGTTTGTAACAATATTTGCAATTTTGTGTGATGAAATTTAAATTTGCAACAAGAAATCGTGAAGAGAACTGCAATTAAAAATTATTATAATATAGCATTTGTAAATTCTAAACGCTGATTGGCTAAGAGCCGTGTTGATATAACTCAATGTCAACACGGGAAATTTTCCACCGCTCGTAAACACGGAAATTTTTCTCATCCTTTGGGCTTTTGACATTGCTATATTATAAAAAAAATATAAAACATTTTTCCGTATTGATATATAGTTATATCAACACGGAAAATGTTTTATATTTGTTAAATATTTATCGTGATGTGACTTTATGCTCTATAATCTAGTGTCGAGTTACAATTCAAGCAAGTTGGATCAGATTTCAACTCGTAGACTTTCCAAAGAAAGCGCCTGGCCGGCGTGGCAATAAGCCTACAAGAAAATTCATATCTCTAGACTAGACCGACCAAATATGTGGTTTATATTTATCTGTTAGTATTAAAGTATATCCTGATACTCGGGCCAAAAGAATATATTTATTGATGAGATGTGGAATTGGAACGAAATAGCGAGATCTTTTGATTTCCGAAATATCACCAAGACGCCAACTGTATCGAGATTGTTGATTATAAAGGCCTTATCACAAAACTTAAATCCCGTCAAAAGACTATAAAATTTCCTGCAAGATCTCAACGATCATGGTATATGCACAGGCGGCCCAATCTCGCAAGGGTCAGTATAGACTTATAGTATAAATGTATATTATATTATATTATATTATATTATATTATATTAATGTATATTATAGTAAAAATATGTCGTAAAATATAGATTTGAAAATGAAATTGACTTGCCTATTTGATAGTGTGTGTTCTCCTTTTATTCCTCCTTTGTTGGACTAATATTTTCCGAGACTTTGTACTCTGTGTTACTAGTATACATGAAACATGATAAAGGCTAACTATTCCCGATCGTCGATACGACGGCACGGCACTTCGAATCGAAAATTTTCACACTCAAATCGCTTTATTCTCAAAAAAAAATTCGCCAGCATGTACAACAAATGCCGTTCTTCGAAAATAC